GGGAGAATAGGCAGCTGTTAGGAGGCATTCTGCAGCTCCTGCTCTCGCCCATGTGAAGGTTGTATGGGAGATGCTGCATTTTCCCTTCCTTCTTACTGCTTGTTTGCATAAATTTGTATTTTCAGATTTATTTGCAATGAGCAGTATACGTGTGTTTGCTTTGGTGATTATGTGCCTAATACACCCATAGAAGTCTGAAGTTGCACAGAGGCCAAAATATAATTTTTCTGTCACTTCTCGTAAGGAGTAAGTTCTCAAATTATGCAAGTAAACTTCAGCTTTATGCGGCCTGTCAATGTGCTGGTCAGGGGCCATCGAGATAGTTTCTGTGTTGTCTTCTCTAGTTGACTAATGCTCAGAGTAAAATGTAGAGCCACTAAAACTTCTAATTTCTATCTTTGTTTTTCCGTAGATATTGGTATTAACCTCACAGATCCTATGTTCAGAGGAATCTACAGAGGAACACAAAAACATCAAGGTCAGTGTTTTCTTTGTATCTGCTGAAAGACAGGAATCTTCTTGCTAAAATAGAAACCTCTTATGTGTCAGAACGTGAGATTAGAGTTTCTTTTTGCTCCTCAAGAACTGGATGCTTATTTACTAAAGCTTGAAGAAGAAAGTGTGACAAAACAGGTTAGGTGTCCTAAGCAAAATACATTCTCTTAATTGCTGTTAAGCTGTCATGCAGGTAACTCTGCTTCTGGAGCAAAATGGACAATTGCTGATCTATTTATGTTAGGATTGCGTGAAAAAACTGATGTGGGAATTATGAACAATAGCCTATCAAAGTATTGCATTGCTGAATCGTAGTTACTAATCATAATGTGGGGGTTTTCTGCTCTCATGGCCTTTAGATGTAGATGTAAAAACTGAGAGTCTCCTAAAGTATGTGGAAAAATTTCCGTTGACTTCTTGGATTTAAATTGGATCTCCAGTTACTGTGTTTTGTTAATAGTCTTCTAAAGATTAATCTAATATGTTTTAAAGATTTAATGATAGGAATTCTGACTGCATGAAAGTTGAAAAGTAGTTAAATTATGTTGTAAAACCTTAAGTTCAACTTACATAATTTTTATGAATTTTTGCAGATGACCTTCTGGATGTGATAGAGAGAGCAGTCAAAGTTGGCATTAAAAAGGTAATTTCTTATAATAAAATTGCATTAATATTTTAAACTGTTTTCTAATATTTGGTTTTTTGGTGCTCTCCTACTAAAACAAATGTTTCTGGGATTTGCAATGGAAAATGCAATAACTTCCTTCAGTAGCACAAAACAAAAGTGTTCTGTGCAGAGCGTTGTCTTTGCACAGATCATTAGATGACTATTTAATGATGGTGATGCGTATGTAGAATTTATTTTGTACAGTTTCAACAGAAAGGTGTTCACTTCTGAGCTACTGCAATCAGTTTTCCATGTTAGTTGTATTATGGGCAACCATTCCTTTCTTCTGGTGTCTTATGTGACTCTTAGAGAGTAAGTTGCATGAGGAGTGGCTGAGGGAGCTGGGGATGTTTAGCCTGGAGAAAAGGAGGCCTGGGGGGAACCTTATCACAACTACCTGAAAGGAGGTTGTAAACAGCCTCTTCTCTCAGGACAAGGTGAAATGGCTTCAGGCTGTGCCAGGGGAAGTTCAGTTTGGACATCAGGAAGAATTTTTTCATGGAAAGGTTTGTTAAACATTGTAATGGGGAAGTAGTGGAGTCACCATGCCTGAAGGTATTCAAGAAAAGACTGGATGTGGCACTTAGTGCTGTGGTTTAGTTGACACGGTGGTGATGGGATAAAGGTTGGACTCGATGATCTTGGAGGTCTTTTCCACCCTTAATTATTCTGTGATTCTTAATCAACAGTTACTGCTGCAGATCAAAACTCACAAACTCTTCTGATTGAGATCCTTCAGATATTTCTGTTTGTAAATGAAATTGGTAACTGCAGAAGAGCTGGCAGTGCCCATAAACTCTTACAGTTGAGACACGTGAACATCTGCTGGTAAATACTGGCTTACATGTATTAAAGCAGCACCATTATGTGAGAGAGTTTGTAACTCTTAACTTGAAATTGGTGTTTTCAGTTACTCTTTTGGTTACAATACTCCAGCCTGCCCCTCCCTCTCTCTCTAAACTAATTGTTGACAAAAATATGAATTAACATAGAATACAATGCATACTGTCACAAACTACTATTGCACTAATAAGGCTGCTGGATTAGAAATAAAGAAATAAACACTCCTCTAAAAGAGGAACAAGCCTCTTGGGAGTTTGTTGAAAAACTCTCATCTGAAAAGAGCGGGAAATGAACTGGGAGACAAAAAAAGAAAACTCCAGTGATGGAGAAGTTACCCCACTGCAGCAAATACAGAATCCAGGGTCACTTTTGTATGTACTGTGTAAGTGCTATTTAATCTTCATACCACTCTCTGAAAATAAATGGCAGCTTTCCTATTTTGTGATCAAAAATAGATTAGCTGCATAACTTTTTCAAGATGCACAGTGGATTCAGAAGTGGCATTCAGGAGTTCCCTGTCCTTAGCTGTTTTCAGGCCTCCTACTGCTCTGTACAGTGTCAGAAGCCTGTTCCATCACAGATTGTTCCTACTTGCCTAGAAGCTTGATGTGTTTATTGGAAAATACTTTTATTTTTCCATATAGCTGCTGATTTATGGTAAATTTTTTGTGAAGTTTTGCCCTGTGTTGTATCTAACTGATTCATTTTCAGCTTAACGTTTCTCTGGTGATACTGTTGGGATGTGTCCGTCAGTCATGGAGCATCCTGCAGGAATGTCTGACCTGGTGCTCACTGAGTCTGGTGCACAGCATGTGTAGGGATAAGAGTTGTCCAAAAGCAACGTACTCATAATTTATTAGGACCTAGGGTGAGATATTCTGTAAGTGGTGGTTCAAAAAAGCACTGTGAGCAACAATTCTGGTGTGATAACTTTGAGCTTAAGGTAAAAATAAAAGATCAGAGCCAGAAATTCTTAAAATTGTAATCCCAACTCTGATACAGACTTGTTTTTTGGTTTAATTACTTACTTACTCATGTCTTGTTCTGGGTGTTTGGGAATCTTTGTTTTCCCCACCTGTAAGACAGAATGTTCCTGAGTATCATTTCTTGAATCAAGTATAGTTTTTTGAGTCTAATGAAGGTAGTATTGCTGCAGATATAAGTATTTTGTTTGTGTAATGGTTTAAAATCTCAGCATAGAAGATACTTGATTTAGAAAAAAAAATCAGATTTTTATACCAAGTGTATTTACTAGCTCCTGAGGGCCATTGAGGTTTGTAGCTGATTTACAAAATCTTGTTATATATATTAGTAATTGTCTTCTGATGTTCTCTGTCCAGATTCTTCATGTATCTGAGTGTTTTCTTAAACATTCTGTTTGATGTTCAAAGAACATACACACTGACAGTACTTTTCTTCTTTCAAGTTTTTGATTACAGGTGGAAGTCTAGAAGATAGTAAGGATGCATTGGAGCTGGCACAGACAAATGGTATTTTCACATTAAACTTGTGTTGTCAGTCAAAAATATAACCTTCTCTTCTCTCAGAATTAAGAGTTCAAAAGGATCTGTCCCAGAGGTGTTTACAGAATCTCAGATTAAAAGGAGAAATTAAATTTCAGATGGGATGAATGCATTGTATATGAGTTTCTGTGTGTTGCTCTGTAGATCCCTGATATTGGAAGGAATAATTCTTTTCTGCAATTTCTATTTCTAGATAAAAATAGAAATTATAAGAATTCCTGAAATAAAAAAATTGATATGTCTCTATTCTAGAAATAAG